ACCGACACCTCAATTCGCAGGAATAAACACTACTCTGCTAAGAAGCCAGAGACACAGCTAAATGGACGATTTCCTTGCTGCGCCAAGGCATTCGACACGCATAAGACGGCAGAAAGACTAATAGAAAGGATTGGACTAACCACATATCGCTAGCCAAGCATGGAGAAGAAGTGTCTGAAATACAGAGCTCAAGTATGCACACTCCTTAGTCAGCAAGTCCACTGCCAAAGGCATACACCAAAACCCGAATCAAGAGAACACCTTCAAAGTTTCTAAAATTTCGGTGATTTGTGCACACACTCACAAACATACATGCACATACAGAAGAAACCAAGTACGTAAAGGTCTACTCTTGTTCACTATCTCTGCCGGGATGAGAGCAATAGAGGGTCTGTTATCTGCGTGTACCCCCGCCATATCGATTTTGATAGTCTCGACGACGAAAGGGTGAAGGCGGACGACGCAGCCGCGCTCTCGAAGGCCCTCCAGGACTGATTTCTGCGAAGTCAAAGGGGGAAATAGACAATCAAAATCAACAGAAACGTGGGAACGAGGAGGAAACCTCAATCACAAATTTTTATTAATTCCGTAAGGAAAATGTCCTTGTAGGTAACCAAGTTAACATGGCTGCGGTTCTGTTCTCATAGGCAAAACTCGAACATATGCTACTCACAGTTAATAAGTATATTCAAAAGGAAAATTTGACACTCCTTAGTCTCCATAACTAACAGAACAAGAGGCTATCTCTGTCAAAAAAAGATCTAGAGTGGCGTTCATGGGAAAAGTACGAGAACATCACCAATGTACCGAGATTGACTGTGGAGGGATGAGAAGGCGAGGTGCGCCGAAGAGCCGGTGGAACAATCGGGGAAGTCGGCGAACAACTGCGACTGGTTGTCGATGAGGAAGCAGACCGACGCAAGGAAGAAGCCGCACCCGTAGATGAGTGATGAGAAGAGAGCTGGTGCCGAAAGCCACGCTCCGCCAGCCGCTTCTCGATCTCCCTTTGGCGCATCTGAGCTGCAAGCTTACGCAGACCTTCCTCTCGGTCCTGTAGAAGTAAAGTTAATGTCAGCTTACATTAAAGGCGCTGAGCGTGTACACAGCTTCCGATATGTAACTTAAGCTGATGAGTTGCGGTATCATCATTAATTTCCTATCTAATTCGGATAAAGGGAGGCGATAAAAATCACATCTTTAGACCACTCAGAACGCAGGAGCATGTACAGTAAGTTTCAGCGATATGTAAAACTTTCTAAAGCTGGAACGCCCAGATGACTGTCTGGTCAGAGCGCACTAAACAACGCAAATTAAAAGTAAGAAATCGCACAGATGCGATTAGAGCTACCCTCATGGACCATAGCGCAGTTTGAACGGATAGGCAAACGCCGATACCCTTTAATGAATCCATAGGGAAAATAATGGTGAATGGATATGTAGGGAACAGAGGGAGAAGAATAGATAGATTCGGAGCAAACGAGCTGATCAAGTGAATAAAGGAAGGTATTTGAAACTATTGAAGGAGTGGGTTAATTCCT